AAGTTAAAAAGAAAAGCATTTATTCATCTGGCATCTGGCGGTATGTTTCTCTTAATTTGGATTTGTAAATAAATGTATATTAACGTTATATGATAATTAACAATTATAAATACACGGCAGAATTGTCAAAGTCCAGCCGTTGATCTGAGACTGATCAATCTATCAGAAATGTGTTGATATTTTGATTATATCCCATTGTGACAATCCCTGCTACTGGGGCATGTTGTCACAAAAACTTAACATGTTCGACTCTTTTTTTGCTGGATATGACCCTTTGAATTTGTCTCTGAAACAGAGCTCCATTTGTGTCTGCTTATATTCATAAAGGAAGTCTGTCCTCCCCGTGGCAACAGCGGTGATCACATATCAGTAATATATTCCATACGTAGATATTAATCAGATTTTTTGTGAGGTATTTGATTGGATTTCTTGCCTGCTGATATCCCATCATACTGCAGGCTGTTCTTCATGAAATCCTCAGTCTGGCGCTCTGATGTCTGGCTGACGGTGGCCGCGGTTCGGGTCTCTGTGTCAAAGCCACACAGTAAATCTGCAGAAATGAAAGCTCCTGCCGCTTGTTTACATGTCTCTGAACTGATCACAGGCAGACTGATGTGAACACAGCTGCTGATTCAGAGTCAGCACGAATGTCTTTAGTCTGGATGCAGCTGCTGTGTGAGAATGACTGTAAAATCCCAGTTCAGTTTCTGAGTTTGCGTTTAGCTAGATAACACAGATTTACGTAACTGCATATATTGTCTATATTGACTAGAATATATTGCAAATATATATTGAAAACAGTGTTCCTTAATGAAATAAATAATTGATTTTTTTAAATATATATATTTTTCCGGTTTGAACTGTCAATTGGCAGAATAAACTTTAAATTATATTGTATAATTTTCAGTATAGATTACCCATAAATGCAAGATATGGGCCAGACATATTAGATCATATTAAAACACTTCACAATAAAGTCTCATTTAGTTAATGCATTAACAACTACTAACCATAAGCAATACATTTGTTACACTTTTTATTAATATCTGTTAATACTGGTTAATAAAAATACAACTGTTCATTGTTAGCTCATGTTAGTTCAGGTTCATTAACTAATGTTATCAGATACAAACATTAATAAAAATTTAGAAATGTATTTTTCATTGTTGGTTCATGTTAAGTAGTTCATGTTAACAAATGTTATTGCAAAGTGTTGAATTATATTTAAAATGCCGCAAGTAGAAAGGAGTATTTAATTAAATGTCAACACTTAACACTTTATAGCTCTAATTTACCGCAAATTTCACCCATATTTATTTTTAAAAAAAAATAATTGGGACATTTTGTGTTGTATGGCAAATCTTTTTTCGTGCTAATTGTTTTGACAGTATTGAAGTTAGCTCAGTAAAATGTCTAATCTGTTGAGAAATATTTTGTAAAAATCATGGGAGTATATAAGCGTTATTAATTATGCATTTATTTTAATATATAAAATCCTCTACTGAATTCCTCTTCCTGTCATTCAATTCAAACTCCACTTCAGCATCATGGAGCAGCACCAATTCAACTCGAACAGCCTCAGGAACTGAAAGAGAGCCAGTTGGTAAATCCAGTAAGTATAATGTGTGTTTGAGGTTTGAAGCGACGCAGTCATGAAAGAAGATTCTAGCACAATGAGTGTCCCACTTGCCCAAGCTGTCAATGATTTATGAATGAGAAGCTTTCGCTAGGCTCTCTGTAATTCCCTCCAGAACGGCTGAAAGAGAATTGAGCTTTCATTACAGCAGCCACTCCGGCCAAACCACAGCCGTCTGAGAACCATTGAAAGGTTAACGGTGTCATTTTTATGATGTTAAAGGAATCGTATAGGCCTACCCAAAATGTCCATTAATACACACTGTAAATAATGTTTAGAAGACTACTGGAGTACATTTTACAAGAAAATACAATTTAAGTCTTTCTTCAATTCATGCTTAATTCAACGTGTTACTTGCCAATTCTTTGTAATTATTTGGAAATTTACTAGGAATTTCTTGGTGAAAATTGATTCTACACCATATTTCTCAGTAAATGCTACTGAGCCCCAAAGAAATAAGACGATGCACCCAACTGAGCCAACTGAAAATCAACGTTAAAAATCATGGTATTTTCTTCTTATGTTACTTCTGTACGTGTCAGAGAGAAAAAAGCGCAGCCATCTTTAATTTTGTCTTTGAACTTCTGTTTTTGCGGTAGCTCTAAGCATCACTATTGAAGAGTAATTAGCTGCATGGCGAAGTGGATTTATTTATTGTAGAGTTAACAAAAGTTATCATGAGCACTGTAATGTTTAAAGCGGATGTCATACCAAATGTCAGAAGACCGGGAAGGTTTTAAATCGAGCGGTTCATTCACTGATTTGTACGACCTTACCTTCACGCTGTTGAAATACAAACGAAAGACAGAAGACAACGAGCACAGCACTGAAAAGGGGTAGAGCTCCATGAGCAATGTTTATTAGCGCAGCGCTGCTTTGTTTACTGCGGTAATCAAGTAAACGCTATATCGCTGCTGTTCCAGAAGCGCCACCTGCTGTCAGAGAGTGAATTTGCCTTCTCATTTAGCCTGTCGGCTGTTTTTGTTTCGTTCAGCTGTTTTAAGTTGTACAGTTTCACAAAGCTGAAGTCAGACCATTCTGTTTTTGCTTCACATTTCTTAAAGGTGCTGTATGTAGGATTGACACCGAGTGGTTGAACTAGGTATTGCAGTCCAAATTCAAAATATTGGAGAGGGTATTTTTCACCCGGCCCCTCCTCCTCAGACTTGACGCACACGCAGGTTGCCAGATTGACGACACCAGGTGAAACCAACAGTGATGCGACGTCTTTGAAAATCGTGCAGTGTGAACTCGGCATTAGCATGTTTCTTAAATATCTGCAAACATATTATGGTATTTTTATGCTTTAGTAGAGTCAAAAACCTACATACAGCACCTTTAATCTAATTTAAATGAAAAACTGCTCATGCTGTGTAACATCTCTGCTTGTATCATGATTAAAATACAGTGATTGCCTTTAACTTTAAATAGAAAGAGTACAGGCAAAGCTTGTTTGTTTATATGAATAGATTTCTTTTATTTGTATTATTTATTTGATTTGGGATTGGTTTTGTAATTTCAAATGTAGTTTTGTTATTCAACATATTTCAATTTCACAAAGAAACGTGCAGCATTTTGTATATGAGAAATAATAAAAGGACACCTTTTCATTTTTAATTTGGCTTAAATCTCATTTCGTTCAAAAACATTGTGAGAAAATCATATTGCGAAGTCAGTATCATGAAGCGTATCGCATCATGAGTTAAGTGAATCGTTACATCCCTATAAGGTAAAATTTGGTATCACTTGATATAATCAAAACAACACATACAAATGTATCAAATATCATTTATTTATTTTTTATAAAATCACTTTTATATCTTAAAAAAACTCAAATTTTCATTTTATTGTTTGTAATGATGTAAAATAAAGTGTTTACAGGGTCCAAGAATGAAATAATCAAAACTGAAATACATGAATCCTCATGGGTGCTAAATACAAGTACAAACATGAGGCCGAGTGAAAGAGCGACCGAGATGTTTCCTACAAAACAGGCAGGAATGTCAGTACTGAACCATCAGAAAAACTCCAGTGTTTGACAAAGAAAACTAAACCAAGTGAACAAGAACAGAGAGAAGACATGCATGATCAACTCTATAGAGGAGATTGTGGTGCTGAAGGCTAACAAAATAATGCAGAAGTGTCTTGAGAAAAGGCACATTCATTTGAGACAAAAAAAGAGCCTGATTGAATCCTGATATATGTGACTAGAACCTCATAATACCGATATCTTATTTGGAGAGACGTTTGCCACAGTTTCGGCCCAATTCATGCACATCAGTTCAATTCTACATTAATGCCAACCAAGTCAACACTCCTAAATAGGTTTTTCCTCATCTTAAATGATTTGGGACACATTTTGTTCTGTATTGTCACATTACTCCATGTTTCTTTCTCGTGTAAATAAAATAAAGCAGTCCTATCAGATGATCGACATGCAAATATAGGTATTATATTTGCATAATACCTATATTTAGTATTATGCAAATACCATTAGTTGTGGCCTAATGGATAGAGAGACTTGAAACCCGAAGGTCGTGGGTTCGAGTCTCAGGTCCGGCAGGGATTGTAGGTGGGGGGTTTGATTTGCGAGAGTAAATGCGAAACTAGTGTTAAATATCTCTTTACAACTACATATCCTGTGCTTTGACGTGAATGATTCTTGAAATACATATAGCCACATACACACTGAAACAACATAGGGATTATTGAATCTAGTTTTCTGAAATTGAAGAAATTTTCTGAAATTCTGTTATTATTATATTGATTTGTAAAAGTGGTTGTCACTATGTGAACTTTATCGAGATGTAAAATGTATTTGTCACTTCCAAATAAACAAGTTCAGACCAAGATGAAGCAGTCAGAAAGTGGAGTGACATCTGAATTAGCTGAAGTGTGAACGTGGCCTCTGATATGGCATTACACTCGTAAAACTCGCAACAAAACCAGACAGAAAACGAGATGTTTGCGACATTGTGTCTAAATCATTAAAAAAAGACTAAAATGATGTCAATTTGACAAAATACACTAAAAGGCTTGTATAGAAAGAAAGAAAAATCTAAAAATTTGGGCTAATTTATGGAAAACCTACGTAATAGCCACATAAACTCTGGATGACTTGTCAAAACTGACAACAAAAGAGAAATGGATTGCAACAGAATTTAAAATGTTTGGTGTTTTAAAGAAATAAACATTAGTGAGTGGAGATTAGAATGGGTATGAACATTTAGAAATTTTGAAACCACCGTAAACAGATTTGGTGTTTTAAGCCCCTCCATGTTTGTCATTAAACAAGTGGGATCGCTGCATTAACAACTAGTTATTATTAATTTGAATTGTAAAAGTGGTTGTCATTATATGAAAATTTTGGATGTAAAAACGTGTCACTTCCAAAAAAAAAAAAAATTAAGATCAGGATAAGTCAGAAGTGGAGTGAGATCTGAATTAGCTGCAGTGTGAATGTGGCTTCTGATATGGCATTACACTAGTAAGACTCGTAAGAAAACCAGACAAAGAACAAGACGTATGTGGCATTGGGTCTAATTAATCCAAAAAGACTAAAATTATGTCCGTTTGACAAAATACACCAAAAGGCTTGTATAGAAAGAAAAAAATAAATCACAACTTTGGGCCAATTTGTGGAACACCTACATTTGAATCCAAATATAAGCAGCATGAACAAGGTGTTTTTGCATTCACACAAAACCCCTTTGGACTCCCAGATACGGTCCATCTGAAAGCTCAGGCACTGTGACGTTGTGCGCGGTGTTTCACACGCTCGACTTCTCCGCGGAACGTCGTCCTGCGTCTTCAAGAGGGGCGTAACGCTTGCCAAAGGTGGACTGAATAAATATGCACGGCTGGACTGCGGGCGACCCTTCCAGCCAGGCGTATCACACATCTAACATGGAGAGGTCTGATCCAGAAGTTAAACCGGTGTGCGGTAGTCTATAATCTGACTGCATGTGGATGTTTGTGTGGCTGCCTGGCATTGGCGAATTTGCCATGGTCACCGTTGTCATTGGCAAAGCATTACAAGAGGGGGTGTGGAAGACAGAAAGCTGCCAACATTGGCGTGTCTATGTGTTGTGCTAAACTCAGCCAAATAACGTCAACGTCGCCTCGCATCGAACCTCTTGCTTTCATATATTTATAGTTAGTGACGATCTCTAACAGAGGGATCTTTTTGCAGCACAACACTTCCCCCAATCTCGATGCGCTCCCTCCCTGAGGGTTCCCGTGCCCCCGTTTTTATCCCTGTTGATCTGGTTTTTCAGGGTTCTGGGGGGGTTTCGGATGCCGTTTCCCATCCCCGTACAGAGGGAAAGTGTTTCTCCACTTCGTCAGAGTCTCTCAATGTCTCTGTACTTTTTGCGCAGTATCGATACTTGGTCCTTGAACAGAACGGGATCCAGTCTCATCTGCGAATGGACCAGGGGCATGGTGCCAAACCAGCTGGCAAATTTGTTCATGCACATCTGCCGCTGGGCAAAGTGGTCAGGATCTGCCCAGCGTGATGCCCGGGACGTCTGCGAATGAAAGAGAAAGTTAGTTAGCTGCTATATCCACCTTTTTTTTAACGTAAGAGCGGATGCGGTCATTTATAACTTTTCAACAAGACATCTGGTGTCATTTGCATCAATTTATTTTAGCTGCACAAACCTGTAATTACACAGATTGATTAAAACACTCAATTCTGTTATATAAAAGCTATTTTATATATTTATGTATTTTCATTCTTTTTTGCAATTAATTTGTCACAAACAAAAATTGGCTTGTAATTAATTTGCTTGCAAACATAATTTTATCAAAAAAAAGTTTTATTTACTACCTATATAAAATAAAATAGTTTGATGTTGATGTGAGATATAATCCAGGCATGTTATTGACTGCAGCATTACTACAGTTAACTTAAAAAATATTGTTACTTGAAATAAAATAAACATTACGTGAAATAAAAAATATTAATTAAATAAAATATATAATATTATATATAAAACACTTAATAAAAAACTTAATTTATTTTAGCTTTTAAGCAATTACTAAAGCTAAAACTACTAAACTAAAATAAAAATTGGAAAATATAAAAATAAAAACTAATTCAAAATATGAATAAAAACTATAATAGTATCTAAATGATACTAAAATAACACTGGTTCTTGACAAGTATCATGATGACATTCACTCATACACCAAAAATAAACCATCTTTGATTTGCAAAAATTGCTGAGGGAAATCACCGGACACATTCAAAATAACACACTCTCAATATGAGAATAGCAGAAGCTGTTGGAGGAAGCTGAAGTATTTCCTCAAGTCATTATAAGCTATTTTTGGGAGGTGAAAACAGTGACGCAACTTGTCTCAAACCCTTCCGCAGAATTCCAGATTTAACTCTGCAGGAAATACTAGCACTCACACAGCTGAACATTTGAGGTGAACAATTACACTGATTTCATGCATTTTGTACCTGTCCCATCATCGTCTCCTTGTACTGCTTCTTTTGAGTGATCTTGATAGGAGGCATCTTAGTGACCGCTGACACCAGGAAGTTCATGAGGATGTCTTCACAGTTTGAGAGCTGGTCAACCATACTCTTTAAGCTGCCGGGCAGGTATTGTGTATACAAGTAGTTGTAATACCTGGAGTAAAAAAATACAGCCTGTTAAACAATTTTATAAATCTTAGGGCCTAGGGAACATTTGAGTACTTCAGAACATTTCAGTTTCAGCAGTATCCACCTTTTTCTTCCCGTAAAAATGGGCGCGGCCATTTGGAAATCATCCACGTTCAGCTATTTTTAGCTGTACAAAACAGTTCGTTTTGCTGCTTGATATTGAAAATTGGTGTGTCTTACCATATTATTTTAATGTATTATCTTAAAGGGTTAGTTCACCCAAAAATGAAAATGATGTCATTAATTACTCACCCTCATGTTGTTCCAAACCCTTAAGACCTTCGTTCATCTTCGGAACACAATTTAAGATATTTTTGATGAAATCTGAGGGCTCTCTGACCCTCCCATAGACAGCAAGGTAACTACCATATTCAAGGTCCAGAAAAGTACCAAGATGATCGACAAAGTAGTCTGTGTGACATCAGTGGTTCAACTGTAAAGTACTGTACGAAGCTACGAGAATACTTTTTTGTGCAAAAAAAACAAAAATAACGACTTTATTCCACATTTTCGTCTCTACTGCATCATTACGCCGGATCTGGGTCAGCGCCGCCACACGCTCGCGTCATGGTACTGTCGTGAACGCGCGTCCAAAATGATGCAGTAGAGACGAAAATGTGGAATAGCTTCGTAACTTTACAGTTGAACCACTGATGTCACATGGACTACTTTGTCGATCATCTTGGTGCTTTTCTGGACCTTAAACGTGGTGGTTACCTTGCTGTCTATGGGAGGGTCAGAGAGTCCTCAGATTTCATCAAAAATATCTTAAATTGTGTTCCGAAGATGAACGAAGGTCTTACGGGTTTGGAACAACACAAGAGTGAGTAATTAATGACAGAATTTTCATTTTTGGGTGAACTAACCCTTTAAGTGTGAACACACTGGTTTGTCATGCAAACAGTTTTACCGTTTACTGCACGTTGTTATTCTTCTCGTTATTTCCCCACAGCGGCTAATGAACAGGAAGTCTTGCCCATAGGCTTACTTCCACGTTGAAGAAAAAGGTGGATAGGAGGTTGGCAGCTCATTCCACCACAGATGAACAGAGAAGGTGAAGGTTATGGAAAGTGACTTAGTGTCTTGTTGTGAAGGAAACTTACCTGTGGTAGAAAGCAGCTCCAGTCAGCACCATGGAGTAGTCATTGGTCCACTTGGAGGTGTAGCCCCAGCGCTCCTTGTTAGAGTCCCAGAAATGGCTCCGTGCGGGGTATCCCACGATCCTCTCTGGGAAACTTTGCCAAACCGTAAAGGCGAAATCCACCTGCGGAAACAAGTATTCTATAATAAGTACTTACTCAACCATGCACACATAAACTCTAAGATTTGTCATTGCGTTGAACAATTTAAATGGTTTCCAAAAGCTCAGACACAAACATGATTTCAGAAATACTAAAAAGAGTGTAACTCAAGTTAGTGGTTCAAGATATCGATATCTAGAGAGCAGTGTGACTGGTAACCAAATAATTGCTGAAAATACAATTTAAAGCTCTATTTTTTTGCTTGAAATTAAAATGTAACCAATTTTGTTAAAACACGAATCAACGTAGTTTGCATAGTACTAATGAAAATTGTAATAATGCAAATCTCGAAACCAGTTACAATTTTAGTGTATTTGCCAATAAATAGCTTTGTTAAGTAATAGTTTTTATTGTTATCTGATATGAATAGCAATCGTTTTGTCTAATGTCAGTGTTGCCGAACTTTTGTGACATTATTTTAAAATTCTATTGATTTCAATAAGTTAAAAAAATCAGCATTTAAGTATGACAACATACGACAAGGGATAAAAAAAATGGGTAATTATGACCTTTTATTTCACAATTCTAAGAAGAAACGTCTGAATTGTGAGATAAAAACCTAGTTTTGTAAGAAAAAAGTCAGGATTGTGAGATAAAAAGTTGTAATTAACCGTTTAGTTTTTTATTTTGTGACAGAAACAAATAAACTAAATTGCGAGATGCAAACTCAGAATTCTGGGGGAAAAAAGTCAGAATTGCGAGATGTAAACTCAGAATTACGAGAAAAAAAAAACTGAATTGTGAGGTGTAAAGCCAGAATTCCAGGGAAAAATTGCAAAATTTAAACTCACAATTTAAATTGTGAGACAAAAAGTTGCAACTACCTCTTTTGTTAGGAAAAAAAAAAATTCTGTGGCGGAAACAAGCTTAATGATCTTACTTGTTCATAAGACATATTTTTCAGATATCCTTCTCTCATTATCTTGAGAGATTTGATGTTATTAGAGACATTCACACTGATCAAGGTGATCATTACCAAGAAACTTGTGTTTATACTTTAACTGCTAGTGGACAGAAAGTTACATAGTGTAACTTTAATGAGCAAAAGTACCAAAAAAAGTACAACAAAATGAGCACTTATATTATACAATACTTATGCAAATTGACAAAAACCTAGAACCATTCTGATTTGTTGGCTCACCTCTGTAGTCGAGAGCACAGTGTCTTCATCCAGACTCAAGACTGCATCAGTTTTGATGTTGTCATAGGGCAGGAATCGGCTGCTCATTACCTAAATGTAATCAATGCATGAAACCTCCAGAAAATGCTCAATATCTTTGACTTTAGTTAAGATAAACATTCAAGGCAGAGCGCAAAACCCCGGCAACAGCAAATCTATACACCATCCATCATTTGTCATCGTAGGCGAGTAACACCAGACACTTCATGTGATATGATGGGAATAGACAGAACTGAATGAGTGGAGATTCACCTTGCTCTCGCCCTCGATTACAATGACTGGAACAGAGGTGGCGGGCCAGCGGTGCTTCGCAGGGAGAGGCTTATCACAGTTCCACAGGACGATGATCTGATACAAGAACATAGTGAGAACATCAGATGCTGTGAATCCAGCATGTACCACGATCATTTCTACTATTCAGTACATTCAGTATCATATACACTATTGCTCAAATGTCTGGGGTTGGTAAGTTTCTTTAATGCTTTTGAAAGAAGTCAAAAATGGTAATACTGTGAAATATAACAATATAACAGTTTAAAGTAACTGTGTTCTGTTTTAGTGTATTTATAAAATTCAATTTATTGCTGTGATGCAAAGCTGAATTTTCAGCTTCATTAATCCAGTCTTCAGTGTCACATGATCCTTCAGAAATCATTCTAATATGCTGAACTGCTGCTCAAGAAACATTTCTGATTATTATCAGCGTTGAGAATGTTGATAAGAACAAAAATCTTTGCTGTCACTTTTGATAAATTTAATTTCTTTCAGTATTTCTTTAAAAAAAACATGCTTTTGAATGTCGATGTCTTAATAAACCAGATTAAATCATAAACTTACAATATTTAAAGATTGAAATTAGTTAATTTGGTATTTATTCCATACTGTCAATCTTTTGTATAATGCCTTTAGCATTTGCCAGTTCCTCAATGATATCATCTTCCAGGAAATTACATCATTTTAGAAGGAAAACAACCGGACAAACATCTGTGAGTATAAACAATGGATCTGATTAGTTATGTGATGTCAACATATCAGAATGAACGGAGTTGATGTCCTTAAGAACTTTATCTCTTTATTAATATTCAGTTCAATTTTTTGCACTTATAATAATGCACAAATAATCAAGCTGGAATTCATGAAGATGAAGTGTCTGAACTTGACCAGAAAATATTTATGTGAATCCAGGCTATAAAACTATACTAGTATCTCAATGATACTAAAATGATACAAAACTGAAATGAAGTATAAATATTAGATGACAAATTACAATTAAAAAACCTGCCTTTGCAATTAACTGAAATAAAAAGTTTAAGTACTAAAATTACAAAAACTAAACTAAAAATACATGAAAGCCAAATAGAACTATAAAAACCCCAAAGACTAATAAAAATAACAAAAGCACATAACAAAACGACTAAAATGTAAACTAAAATTACAACTGAAAATATAAAATAAAAGCTCATTCAAAATACTATAATAGTGCATATATAATACTAAATTAACACTGACCTGGGCACAGTACTGTGATTTGGCCACAGCCACTAGCAACTTGAAAATCGGCTGAGACTGAGATACGAGAGGCGTGACAGCATGAATCACGGCTGTGAACTTCTGCTGTGGCTTAACACCTGTGAAAAAGATCATCAATATATTTCATTCAGACAATTCATATTTGTGACCCTGGACCACAAAACCAGTCATAAGGGTCAATTTTTCGAAATTGAGATTTATAGATCATCTGAAAGCTGAATAAATAAGCTTTCCATTGATGTATGGTTTGTTAGGATAGGTCAATATTTGGCCGAGATACAACTATTTGAAAATCTGGAATCTGAGGGTGCAAAAAAATCTAAATGTTGAGAAAATCGCCTTTAAAGTTGTCCAAATGAAGTTCTTAGCAATGCATATTACTAATCAAAAATTAAGTTTTAATATATTTACAGTAGGAAATTTACAAAATATCTTCATGGAACATGATCTTTACTTAATATCCTAATGATTTTTGGTATAAAAGAAAAATCAATAATTTTGACCCATACAATGTATTTTTTGGCTATTACTACAAATATACCCCAGCGACTTAAGACTGGTTTTGTGGTCCAGGGTCACAAATATATAAAACACTGACTCCATACCCGTAGCACATTAGTAGTAAACAGCAATGGCCTGCTTACTGAGTACGGGGTAGAAGAAGGGAAAATCGCCCAGGTAAGACGAGAATTGGGGCAAAGTGAAAAGTCCTCCAGGCAACCGGTTCCACATCAGAGTGCTGCGGGCGTTGTGCTGCAACACACGGTCCTGGATGATCTGGGAAAAGCAGTCCAGAAAAGAGTTTGGAAAGTTATGAGATGAATCTCTGAATCATTTCCCATCACTGGTGTTCATTAGAGTCTATCAGACTCACTTCAACATTAACAAGGCTCAAATCTCACGAGCGTTTAACTTTTATAAACATGAGGCCAGCTGGACTGCAGCCATGTTTATTCGGACACATATTAATGCTTGGTATCACAGATCCACCCTTCAAGACCTGACCCGGGTGTCCTCTTACACACCAACAGCAATCCAGCACATCTCAGAGCTGCAACGCTTCCTCCAGGGAGAAGTGTGTGAAACCAGAGCCTGAGACCGGCCCGATGTAGCTCCGCTTTCATTCAGGAATAGCTCCCGACACGACTGACCGCATGCGTTTGTACAAAACCAGAAATGATCTTTTTTCATTTTAAAGAAAATGAAGCTTATTTTTAGGACCATTTAGTTTTTTTTGCCAGATCTAGTTCACATTATGGTAATTATGAGTAATTTAAAATATTTATACGTAATGACTATTTATGCTAATTTTACTAATTAAATCATTGGGCCTGGATGATTCTCATTACATTTCTATCATTCGATCAGTTAAAATAATGATAATTACAAACTCATAACTACATCCGATTGTGGATGCATTACAGTAATGAGAACTGTGTTGTGAAAATGTGCTTAATAATCATGAAAATCACAGAGCAAAAGTCTTAATGGTCCTAAAATGAGCTTCATTTTCTGCAAAATATAATTTCCCATTTTTTCCCTGTTCATTTTTAGGGTGAAGTACGACCTGGACAAGTTTTTGCGGGATTTATCTGATTAGTCTTTAGGTCTTGATGGCTGCACGTCTTGTTTTAATTGATCAGGAAGTTGCTTACCTCCAGTGTAGTGAGCACAATTTTCTCCACAGAAGAGAAATACGCTTCCCACAAGAACTGCGTCTGCTGGCGGAGAGACAGAATGCGATCTTGATGGATGGAGCGAACCGTTGATGGAATCTGTGAGGAGACGGGAGCAGTGTGATAATGTATTTTCTACTCGACAGGCCTTTCCAGTCGGAGGCACCAGTTAAAATAACTGAAATCTCTCCCTGCGGACGGATCACTCTGACAAACTGGGCTTTTTTAGTCAGTAGACGAATTTTCAAGAGTAAGTTTAACAGAACAGTTCACCTCAAAATGAAAAGCTTTCTTATTCACCCTCATTTCAGACTTTTGCTTGTGTGATAGCTAGGTAGTTTATAGGGTGTTGACATCTATCTAGTTGCTATATGGTTACTAAGGTAGTTGCTAAGTGATTGCTGTGCTACAGTAAAGGTGTTATGAGTGATTGACAGGCAGTCAGACAGATAGATAGAATGACAAAATGACAGATAAAATGATACTATAGAATGATAGAGCGATAGAACAGATAGATAGATAGATAGATAGAATGGTCGATAGAATGATAGACACAGACAGACAGATAGATAGACAGAATGTTAGAAGGATAGATAGAATGTTAGAGCGACAGATAGAATGAACAATAGAACAAGAGATAGAACAAGAGAACGATAGATAGATAGATAGATAGAACGATAGATAGAACGATAGATAGATAGATAGATAGATAGATAGATAGAAAGAAAGACTACTGCAATAAACACTGGAACACAGCCTTAGGTCCTGCTCAGTCTGTGGTTCTGTTGCAGTATTTACTGAGAGGAGAAGTGAGTCACAGCAGGTGTGAGCGATCATTAAAGTCTCTCATCACTGTAAACACAAACGGCCCTTGAGGTGGATTTCCATTACAAATATCTCACTGGCCGATTAGTCTCACCTTTTGTTGAGCCAGTCAGTGCCACATGGGCACGAGAGTACGGTATATTAAATGCAGAAATGTGCTACTGCGCAGAAGCTGTCACTCCTCTCACCACAGACTGCCTTTCTGCCGCAGGCCGCTAATCGGTGAGGGCAAGAGGTCCCATTTCAATTACAAAGCAACATGCACTTGCTTTCAGCGTGGAAGTCTCCGGGGGTCTGCAAACCGTCACTGATAGTTGCAAGCTTGTGCCCGGCAAATTAGCATGTGACATTAGAACAATTTAATTCATGCATGATTAATTAATAGAAAAGGCTTGAGATTGCATGAGGTTAAACCAAATTTCAACATATAAACATGTCTCCGTTCCAAAACCTTGCAAGCTGACTTTGCAGGCAGCATTTCAAAAGTGCATGATTATACTACTAGGGCCCGATGAAATCTGTTTTATTTTTCCCCAAATTCCATTTTGAATGAATATTTATTTTATTTTATTTTTACAATAATAGAGCCCTATGAAATATTTCAGAAATTATGTGTTATGTATTTAAATTTTTGTCTTTAACAAACTTTTTTGTTAAAAAAGTGTCTAAAAATACGTTTTAAACATTATTATTATTATTATTTCTAATAATAATAATATAGTAATATATTTCTGTCACAGTTTCTTCAAGTAAAACCAGACGTTTATTTTGATGGGTTGTCGTGATATATGACAATAGCTTTTATCAAACAAAACAGTAAAATGCTCATGAAATGAACTCTTAAAAGAATTTCTGGAGATGAAGGTCATGTGTTCTTGTCCTCATAGTTTGACAGCAGATGCTGAAAACACGTCTGCATCATTTATTTACACAGAGACACGCAGAACAGGCAGACGTCATATGGACACAAGTCCATATCACAATTTGATTTAAGTGTACAGACCTACTTTTGATTTATTCATCCAAAATTTGCCAAATTCCATGACATTCCGCATTATACAGAAAATTCGATTTTTATGACTGGATTCCGTGATTCTGTCAGTGTTTTCTGCATTGTGGAAATCACAGCGCCCTATCTAAGACACTTTCTTTTGGCAGCACTGCATGCACTTTTCACAGAGAAGCCAATACTAGAATGTATTTCAGTTAAGATGCTGCCCATATAGGCAGTAGACAGCAGGCAGCTCGCTGTTGTTTCAGACAGGAACAAGCAACAGAATGAATCATATAAGCTGAACTAGATTCTATCCTGATATATTCTGGAAGTCGTACCTGTAGAAGAAGTCTCTCGTCCCCAATGACGGCGGCCGTGTGCCAGTCGATGATCTCTGAGAAGGGAAGCTCCCAGCCGTTACTGAGCATGACGGGAACACAAGCGGCCTGCGAGCACACACACACACACACACACACACACAGGCAAGTTAAAACAGGCTGAAGAAAAATAAAACAAGCGTCATGAAAATTTTATTAGCGTCTTCGAGTGGAAAGTCTGAAAGCAAGAGGAGCTCTGACTTCAGACTGAGAAATGAGGAATCTGGGAAATCTGGCAGCGACTGAGGGAAACACAAAGCATGGCTCTACCTGTCTGAACTGAGGCTTCACGGGTCATAGCAATGAAAAAGGATGGGAGATAATCATCAAGAACAGAGAAGGTGAACAATGCATAAAGCTACAGGGAAAAAAATCTTAATAATAAATTGTATTTTTTATATTTTTATATATACAGTATATGTACCAATATGGCAATATACAATAATGTGCAATATGGACATTTATTTCAAAAGAAATCAAGCACATCCAAGCAGCTCTTCTGTGCATGTACACTGTAAAACATGTTCACCATACAGCAACAAATGAGCTTTTGTGTCTTGTTCCTGAAGTAGCGCTGTAGCAGCAGGTACCAACAGACAGATGGTGCATTGTTTATAATATCTAATGACTACCTGGTCTCCAATTTTCATATCAGCTGCCATTATTGGTCATTAGTGCAGAGCTGCATTCATTATTTAGGATGGAGTTACAGTGAAAACAATTCCAAAAGCTCAAAATAACTATGACCTCAGTACAGTTTTTAAAAAATAATTTATTTGTTCATAAAGCTTTATAGTAGTTTGATACCAAGTAGTGTTGTTATTGTTTACTAAAACTATTTAAAATAAAATAAAATAAAATATTAGATGAAAAAATTAGAAGTGTTGCCTTAACAATTAATTGAATTAAGTTTAAGGATTAAAATTACTAACTGAAATAAAATAATGTAAATTTGAAATAAAATTCAAAACAAATTCAAAACATTAAAAAATCTAATAAAAATGACAAACCAATATATCAAAATAAATATAACTAAAATCAAAATAATTAAATAACCAACTAAATTCATATAAATAAAAACAAAAATTCCTAAAACAATAAAATAAAAAGACTAAAGTAACACTGTTATGGAGATGGAAGATAAAGATGAAATTAGATCGTTTTTTTTTTTTTTGTAAACGTGGACATGCTACCATAGTAATATTAAGTTTTTTTTTAACATGGTATCACAGTATTTCCATGCTTTTTGAACATGCATCATGGTGATAATATGAAATAAAAAAACACATGAATATAAAACAAACAAACAAATGAATAAATACAAATAAAACAACAAAATCACAAAATTACTAAAACAAAATTAAAACTAAAAAATAATAATTTTTTAAAAAGTTACATTTTATGAATTTAAACTATTCATAAAAAACTGTTATATAATATGAATAATACTAAAATAACACTGTTACCAAGTCCAAACATTTTTAATTCCTTTTTTATAGTTATATAACATGCTTTTGTTGCAAGTGTGGACATGCTACAATATACCAAATTATTTTGAACATGGTACAACAGTATTTCGATGTTTTTTGGACATGCATCACAGTAATAATGTTTTTTTTTCTGGACATGTACCATATACAAAAGTGGCAATTCAGTATCATGGTCTGTATTAAAAGCATTATCTGTCATCAACAGAACTTTATTGTAGATGAAATCCAATATTTTATAACTCTGTGTGTGTGTGTGTGTGTGTGTGTGTTTGCACAGGCTTGTTGTCCTGTCCCTAATCTGTTAAGCTGCTCCCACCCTCTGACCTCCCCTCATCTCTAATATCATCCCGCTGTTATGGACTAATCCTTGCAGTGTCATTAACCAGTGCTTCAATCTGCTGAAATACATACAGACCAATACAGCTCCCGAGAGCTGAAGACAGACACAAACGCACAGACACAGCATAAAAGCCCAGAAAACCTCAGCTAGTCAATCCTCAACACCCACACAATTCAAAACACAATATATAATGGCCTGTTAAGCCTCATGTCTGCACAACGTCAGACAACCTGAAAGAGCACAGCCGCACTCCCACACAATACACAATAGATGGCCGTCTGACATTACACCGGCATCACAGCATCACAGAATAGTGCTGGTTATGGAAAAAGGTGGATTTGACAAAGTAATGAAATACCACAAATGAGATCTATTTAATATCTCAATTGCTGCTTATAAGAAACATTTATTTTAAATTGGATTATTACTGTTTTCATAGTATTTTTGATCAATTAAATGCATCTTTGGTGAGCAAAAGGGACTTCTTTAAAAAATATGAAAAAAAAAAAAATCGAACTGACACCAAACATAGTATGATATCAAGCGATATAAAAGGGCAACATGAATCAACTTCAATATATGTGATAATAAATTTAAGGAACATAAATAATATATATAAAATATATAACATAAAATTTGAACTATATCTAATTTTTTTTTAAATTTAATTAATTTTTTAATCTAAATTTGTAATTTAGGGTTGGCTATATTTAAATTTTTTTTTAAGTTTCTTATACTCACTAAGGCTGCATTTATTTGTTCAAAAATGCAGTAAAATTCTGAAATATTATTACAATTTAACTTGTTTTATATTTGCATATTGTATTAAAATGCATATTGTATTAAAATGCAATTTATCCCTGTGATCAAAGATGAATTTTCAGCATCACTACTCCAGTCTTCATAGTCACATGATTCTTCAGAAATTATTCTAATATGCTGATTTGCTCAAGAATTCTTGATTTCTTGTTATTATCAATGTTGAAAACAGTTGTGCTTCTTAGTGGGTCTATTTTAGTGGAAAGTGATACATTTTTTAGGATTCTTTAATGAATAGAAAGTTTAATGAATAGAAGAACAGCATTTTATTGAAATACAAATCTTTTGTAACATTACAATTGTTTCGACTGTCACTTTTGACCAATTTAATGTGTCCTTTCTGATTTGCAAATATATTTTTTCCATGTATATTACATAGCCGTAGTACTGCAATGATGATGAAGAGTGTGTGTGTGGGTGTGTATATGGGCTGGAAACACAGGACCTGCATGCAACTGCTAAGTGTCTTCCGTTGGTGATCGGTATTGGCGATGGGAAGGATCTGAAAAACTGTACCTGCAGAGCCTCTAGGAAACGGAAAGAGCCCAGGCGGCGTCCTCGAGGCACGAGACAAAAAGTGGAGTTATGCAGCATTTCTTTATAGTCATACCTGTTGAGAAAAAGAAAAACAAAGAAGCACATATTAAGAACCAAAATCAGAAAACATCCTGCTGCAGGAAAAGAGGAGGTGAACATCCTATTTGCATGGAAACTCAGTTAGCGCTCATCACATCTGGCGCAGATTGTGAATCAAGCATGTCCAATGGTCTGAACACACTCATACATTCACTGTGGAAAAAAGCAACTACATACTTTCCAGTTTACAGGACCTTTTGAGTCACAAATATCACTAGAAAACTACATAAAAACCTCAGAGCGACAGAATTCCCCCCCAAATGCTGTCTCAATTATTCAAACACAATTGCTTAAGAATTTCAACTATAACGACCACAACTAGTCAAAATAACCAGCTAGATCTCCATAGCAGCAACTGGCAAAAAAACACAATACTCTAGCATTCCATAATAACCAGACAAAATTACAACGCAACCAACCAGAGGCCAAAGCAACTCCTAGTAACCAGTCACTCAGCAACTACTCAAAATACCAAGGCAACCATCTAGAGTACCTTAGCAATGTCAATTAAGCAGCTACAACATCTGAGCAACCAACTAGAATGCCACAGCAGTGAAGTATACTGAGCAGTGTAGTATACAGAGTATACTGCGCAGAATACTGCATCCCCCAATGCAGTGAAGCATAGCATGCATTATTATATTTGATAAAAGAATTTAAAGACAATCTTTTTTATCTAAAACATTGTGAATGAATGGATTGTACGTGATGTAATTAGTCTTATCCCACAATTCTGAGTTTATATCCCACAATTCTGAGTTTATCCCCCACAATTCTGAGTTAATATCTCGTAATTCTGAGTTAATATCCCGCAATTCTGAGTTAATATCTCGTAATTCTGAGTTTATATCCCGCAATTCTGAGTTTATATCCCGCAATTCTGAGTTTACATCCCGCAATTCTGAGTTTATATCCTGCAATTCTGAGTTTATATCCCCCAATTCTCAGTTTAAATCCCACAATTCTGATTTTATATCCTGCAATTCTGAGCTCAGTTGAAATCCTGCAATTCTGAGTTTATATCGCGCAATTCTGAGTTTACATCCCGCAATTCTGAGTTTATACCCCGCAATTCTGAGTTTATATCCCGCAATTCTGAGTTTACATCCCGCAATTCTGAGTTTATACCCCGCAATTCTGAGTTTATATCCCGCAATTCTGAGTTTATACCCCGCAATTCTGAGTTTATATCCCGCAATTCTGAGTTTACATCCCGCAATTCTGAGTTTATATCCCGCAATTCTGAGTTTACATCCCGCAATTCTGAGTTTATATCCAGCAATTCTGAGTTAATATCTCGTAATTCTGAGTTTATATCCCACAATTCTGAGTTTATATCCCGCAATTTTGAGTTTATATCCCGCAATTCTGAGTTTATACCCCGCAATTCTGAGTTTAAATCTTGCAATTCTGTCAAAAAATCAGAATTGTGAGATAAAGTCCCAATTACCCTTTTGTGTTTTTATTTCATGGCAAAAACAAAAAATGGCTCCTGTTTGTCCTAATGCCAGTTTTATTGATAGAAACCACACATCAATCTAACCTGCTTCTTGTAAAAGGGGTTACAGACATTTAGCTTCATAGTATGAATCACACCCGAGTGTGCACAGACAGTCAGAAGCGAGCTCTTAGAAATCCCCGTTCACGCTCTTGACCTCTCAACCTTTGCTTTGTAGGCTGCTCTTGCACTATGGTGGGATAAAAGCTTCAGCAAATGCTTTGAGCAGCGTTTCAGTCGGCACATGGATTAAGGGGCTGTTTGGAATTCCTAATGCGACATTCCTGCTTTTTTCGCCCGTCTCGCCCTTCCTTCTCCTCTCTTACACATTCTCCACCACGGTCTCCGCTCCTTCTCCTCCCTCTCTCCAATGAGTTATCCATGAGGTGATGCTGCGCATTCCAATGTGAAGCCCCTGAGGTCTTCCTTCACCTCTGCTCTTCAGCACGGATGAAGGAACAGGCCAGGACGCCTGCAGACAGTGAGAGAGAAACTGCCTGGGTTTCAGCCCTGATGCTCTCCGGGTTTGAGATGAACGGTAAAGCTCGAGGTTGAGAGTCGGCAGGTGTTGTAGGATGCTGTAATAACCTCAGATGACCTGCTGGCTCAGTGGGCAACCTGATATGGGTTGTCTGAAAATAGGACGGGATGATGCACTCTAAAGACTTCATAATTCGGCAGCACCACACGGCTTATCCTGCCGGCTCATTGTGTGCAGACTAATATTTTTAATATGACTCTCAAGCAGATATTTAAAAGGACTGTTTTGTGTATTTTCAATTCGGTTGTGCTGTCCTTAAAGGCTGTCTGCAATTCATTTAATGAGCAAAAAAAAAATTTTATTCATCACAAATTGACTGGATGAAAAGAGAGCATACATACTAGAATGGAATTGAAAATGTTTTTCATTTATGATTATAAATGAATGGACTGGGTTCAACTTAAGCTCTATGTGCAGCATCTGTTACATGTCAATTTTCATAAAAACAATTTCACCTTGCCCCTCTGTAAAAACATAAAATAAATAAATAAATAAATAAAGTTACAAATATATAATATATAAGTAAAATAATACTTAAAAGTAAAATAATTTTAAATATAATCATATAAAATATTAAATTAAATACAATAAAATTTCAATATTTGTCTTTAAAACAAAATAATTTTGCATTTGGTTCTAAAATAAAATGAAATGAAATGGTAAAATATCTATGGCATAACTTTAAAATATCTATGGCATAACTTTAGGCAAAAATTTGAAATGATAATGATATAATCTCTCTCTCTCTAAGTTGAATCACTAAAACTATTAAAACTGAAATAAAAGGAAATTAAAGCCAAATATGAATACAAAAAAATGAAAAAAACAACAACAAAATGACTCATTACTAACACTACTAAAACTTAAATGATATAAAAAATAAAAATGATATAAAATTACAAAATTACAATTACAAAAATGTCTAAAACTGAAATAAAAGAAAAAAACACAATAGAACATAAAATTACTATTTACTAAGATTACTAAAACTTAAATAAAATTAAAAATATAAAAATGAAACCCAATTCATAATACTAATAACTACTATAATAGACTGTAAACAATACTAAAATAACACTATCACAAGTCAAAAAGTTATCAGTTAGTGCATTAAGCACCTGTTGTCCAAGATTTGATACAAGCAGTTTTGATTTGAAACTGGTTTGTTATGTATGAAATACAATTGTGTGCAGGCAGGGCTGTGAACAATAAGCCTCTAGTTTATTTCTTGAAGCTGGATGGCAGGTGAGACCACAGTACAGCACAGCACACGGCTCCTGTTATAATGAATCGCAGTGAGTTCACACACGCAGGTCAGGAATAACTGCAACCCTGCGCCATTACTCAAACACAAGCAGCCAGTCGAGCGCAGTGCAACCTGTTCCTATGACACGCTCGGGCCGGGGCGAGGAAGTTCACTGCACGCAGGAAGTGATGGAGTGGGCTGTGGGAAAGAACTTTCTGTTGGAATAAACACATCCATAATTCAGCTCCACAGGCCACCACGCTGATGATGACCACACGCAACTCCACAACATACTACACTCCTACTAATAAAGCTTCTTTACTGGCATTGCTGGTTCCATGAAGAACCTTTAAAATCCATGGAAACTTTCCACTGCACAAAAGGTACTATATAGTGGAAAAGAAGTTCTTTAGATTATTAAAATGTGGTTGTTTTAAGAACTGTTCACTGAAAGGTTTTTGGGGGAACCAAAAATGGTTCTTCTATGGTTTTGAAAATTTCTGCTGACTGACTTTAAATGAATTTTCTGAATTCAATGCAACTTACGCTCTATTAGAAGCATCTGTTGCATGTTTATTTCCACAAAACAAAAACAAAAAATATATATATAAAAAAAATAATAATAAATAAAATTTTTAAATTACTTTCAACCCTCTTTGTAAAAAAAAAAAAAATAAGAATAATAATAAAAAGAAGAAATAAATATATTACATAAAAAGTAAAAATTTATAAATAATCATATATAAAATAATTTATAATATAACAGATGTAATCAAATAAATAAAATAAAACAAAATAAAAATAAAAAATACAATTGGTTCTAAAAATAATAAAGAAATAAAATAAAACAACATAAAATAAAAATAACAATAAGTCTGTATAGAGCAAGGCGTAGTTAAAATATGTGCTAATTTGAAAGTATTGAAAGCCAAATGAATATATGCAACACGATATGGCTATCTATCGCCAGTGGTACTATACTGTTAACTAAAACTATTTAAATGGTTTTCAGTAACTGACGTAAAACTGAAATGAAACAAATTCAAATATCAGATAAAAAACTAAAACGGAATCATATTATGTTTACGTTAAAATGACTGAAATAAACGTAAATTAAGCTAAATAGAAATGACAAAAAAACTAAGAAAAATCACTAAAAACAAAATTATTAAAAGAGCTTTGCGACTGTTTGAAGCGGTCGGCTGCTGTAAAGAAAGCGTGACGTTGCTGTTGAAGGTGTGTCTTTAAACTGTCGTCGTGGGTCGGCGGACCCCACTCACCCGACGCAAATCTCCTCTATCAAGTTGACAAGCGTGCAGGATGCATAAGAAAAAAAAGGGAACTAGAACGTAGGCAGTCACACTGTCTAAGTTTTCTTTGTTATGTTTATATTTGGCATTGTTGCCATAGCAGCAGGTTGGCATGGGTGGCATCTGTGCCTTAAATCAGATTAGTGGAAATGAGAGCTGGTTTCACCAACGCTGCCAACCTGCTTGTAATGACTGTGTAATCAGAACAAGATTAAACCCGCACTTAACGCCCGTACACACGCACAACTTCATGAGCATGTTACAACTGTTTTAACATCCATGGGATCAAGAGAAGAGCAGCCTCTGAAGATACTGATTGAAGCAGATCCAGATGAAAACAGTTGGTTCGAGTCTCTTGTGGACGGTAGTAAATCCACGG